TTTGTTAATTATATTAAAAAATGATATTTGAAATAATTAAAATTCACCAATAATCCAAATTATTACTTAATATACATATACCCTCTTTCATGTATGTTAAATAATTAAATTTAATACAAATAATTCAAATTTATTAACATATCCTAACAAAATGAAAACTACGATTACAATAATGTACCTACCTAATTTCCTCAAACATGAATATTATTTAAAAATTAACCTTTCAAACTATTCAGCCATCCATTAATTAATATTAAAACGATTCCTGTATAACAAAATAAATTAAGAATATTTGTACCTGTCTAGTGTCTGTCTACATGTTAGTATCACTTTGATACTCTTGTTCGTACATCTAGTTATTGTACTGTGATCTAAAATGTGACAGTTTTGACTTTTGACAAAAATGATTGATACATTTATTAATAACCTATTTATTTAATTTATTCCTATTCTGCCTTATTTTTTTCTGATTAAATATTTGAATAAACACAATTATATCGAAGACTAATATATACAAGATGATGATAAATTACTTTCTGTTCAGTAATTCACTGCTGCACTTTATGAACTGTCAAAGTAAACAGTTATTTATATGTAAAGTTTTTACTCACAGGTTGAATCTTTTCTTTCTTTTAGGACTAATACAAATACCGGCACCTTCCATAAACTGGTATATCTGGCATCTGCTTCTGCTTGAATAAATTTGACCAATTCTTATTATACAATATATATCAAATGTTGATAAAAATTTGATTCTTTAACAATGGGTTTTTGATAGAATTTTTCTTTTAAAATAATTTTAACAATATTTTTAGTAGGTACATGAAGAATTTTTTTTCTAATCTTCCCAAGGAAAAATCCCCAAATCAACAACCTTATTTATTTCACCATCGATACCAGTCACATAGTAACGAAGCTTTGAACCAATAGCGATGGTAGTATTTTATACATAATAATCTGGATTATTGAATTTTGTTAGTTTATACCTTGCAAAATATATAAATTTGGAATTTTCATTATTTTATTTGCAAAAGCATAACAACATCTAAAATTTTGTAAGTATTTTCGTTATTATTTATATTACTTAAACTTCCAATAAGAATAATCTTGCCAAAATCACTAACTTTGACATTTTAAGTCAACTATATTTTTGATATACAGGGTGATATTTCTGTAATGTAGAATTTAATTTTATTTTTTTAACAAAAATATTCAAATTATATTATATATTATTATTACAATATCATGACAATATATAAGTACATAAAATTTTTTACTCTTTATTTGCGTTCTAAAAGAGAAGATTTTATCAGCGCTTCGTCTTCGATTCCGTAATCTAGAAATATTTGCAACGATACTGTATGGTTCATACAATAAAACACCTTAGTCAAATCACAGAATATCTCTACTTAAGCTTTGTTTTAATTAATTTCAGAGTTAGCAAGTTCTAGATAAGAAAATATCGTAATAAAAAACAGGCGGGTGGAGTGGGCAATCCAGTCCTGATAATTAATTTAGTAAACCAAAAATGCATATATGTAATTTTCATTGTATTTTCTCTAAAAACTCCGTTAAGGGTATGCGCAGGGCCGCCGAGAGCCAGGCCGGGCCACAGGGCACTTCTTTAGATCGGGTTCCGTGACAAAAAAGCTCTTCAAACAAACACTTTCCCTCTTCTACTTGAATTTTCTAAAAAAAAACTCCTCAAACAAAAACTTTTCTTCCTTTGCTTGTGTCGAATTTCTCATACAAAACAAACAAAATCTAGTTACCGCTGCTGGGCCCCCATTTCAGTCTGGGTCTGGGCCCCGGGAATTAGAACCGGCTACCCCCCTCTAGTCGGCCCTGCGTATGTGTGCCGCTAAACATCACAGAACTGTGCCATTTTTGATTAGGTCGAGGTCGGTAGGATTGTGTACGTTCCACTAATGGGATGTTCAGTGGGTCTCGCATATACATATATCTTTTAAACGAGCTAATAAGTTGTATCATAATTTTAATCATTAAACAAAATCCCTGGATCAATACATGCGTCATGTATTTTTTAAATATAATTTATTGTAACAGAGGAAGTTTAGTTTTTATTAGTTTTTTTTTTGTTACTGAATCAATTAGATAAAATTAAGTGTTCCAAAAATTCGACTTTCTAAAATCGTCTTGGCCAATGGGAAAAGTTAAAATAATTTTTTGACGTATCTAGTCATCGAGGCACTCCATCCTATAAAAAAATATACGATTCATCGAGTCATGCTTGCACATGCTTATTTTCCGCCCTGAAGAATAGAATGTTCTTAAATCAGTCATCTTAGTAAAATTATGCGAACGGAGCGTAATATGAAAAATAGTCGAGAGATAAAAATTGTATTTTTAGTTGCTTTATTTAAAATAATTATGAAAATTGCAAAAATCTACTATTATGTATAGGTGTTATTATTATTGTGTAAAATTCCAATAGACATTTTTGTAGGCACTCTCTTGCAATTATTTCTAGATTAACGTGAAACTCTAAAAGTTTAAATGGAATCGCACGAAAGCATTTTTTAAATAGTAATAAAAACAGATAAAGAACAAACTTAAACATCTTGACCAATGGAATATATCGGTACATTTGTGCCATATGTTTAGGAAACTCTCTTAACTTGTTTAGTAAATTACATACAGGGCTCATTATTGTGTGGAAGTCCAATGTCTCGGGGTTTTTTAAATATACGAGAAAATGTCACCCATAATTTTTTTTTGATTCACGGATGTGCCTATTGTAAAAATATTTTCTAATAGGCAAAAAAACAAGGCAACATAAGAACATTTTTTTTTAATGAATTCTACTATAAAATCAAAGTAATTTTGTATAAAACTCCATATGTTTAAATTCAATTGTTTTCAAGGTTTCAAGCATTCGAAATTTGACTATTTCGAACTTTGACATACTGTATCACCCAGACGCTTAAGGTAAGGGTAAAACGGTTTACATATCCAATTCTTAGTTTTTCATATCTATATCTACTTTTCATTTAACAAAATCTAAACAACAATCTGACATCCGGCTAAACAGGAAGTGGGTTAATTAATTGCATATTATTAGTATAAAGTATAAAAAACTATGACGGAAACATATTAATCGTTTAATCCTAATTTCAACCGTTTAGGTAGTACAGCTTGTCAAAGAATGAAAAACTTAATTTTCGAATGCGAAAAGCTTGAAAACTATTGAACTTAGACATATTGTGTTTTAGACAAAAATGCTTAAATTTTTTAGTAGAATTCAAAAATAAATTAAAATTCAATCAATTTGAAAAAAAACAAGGAATTATTCTACCTTGCTTTTTTGGGACACCCTATATATTACAAATAATTTTTACAATAGGCACCTCTTCGAACCGTAAACCTTTCGACATTAATGGGCCACCCTGTATATTAAACCAGTCATATTTTAGGTTTCTGAGCACCCAAATATTTATATTTTCCTACATGAACACACACGTACTATTGTGGTAAGTAAAATATTTATTAATTATTTTAATTCTATTTTTTTACCTTCCTTTGATTAATTTTGCGCAGAGTTTTTTGCTAAACAAATTTTTTCGTTGACAAGAATGCAATATTTCATATGATTGGAACGTATTTTTCACCAAGTTTTTCCTTATGGTTATACTAGTTATTTATGATATAAGTGCTAAAAGTCATATTTTATTTTGTGAGAAGGGAAGTTTGGAACACGATGCACGTATATCATACACTATTTTTTCTACAAACACCATTAAAAGTCCAAATTAACGCATACGTATTTTACATTAATTGATAAAATAATAGCCTCGAGATTATCAGTTTTAAATCCAATTTTATCTAATCTATTCATGAAACAAGTTACCAAGGTAAACAAAAACCGAATTTGTTGATTTGTCTTTGTTGACAACTAACGTCAATAAATCACGAATTATTCTTTCTCGTTTCTTCGTTCCTCGATGGAAAGTTATCAAGAAAATGAATTGCTACTGCCGGAAATTGAAGAAGCTGCCAATTAATAAAGCTGCTTTTGAATTATTGCCTAGTAAGTCAAAGCAACAGTACGAGTTTTCCATACGATCGTTTCTTATATTTTCTCATAAAAATAAATAACTTTTAGCACTAGTGCTAAAAGTGATTTACTTTTAACACCAGTGTCATAAAATGGCATTTTAGATACTGACAGCATGTGTTAAAAATTATACTTTTACTGACGTAGAAAAAATTGTTTTTAAAATTAGAACGCGGAGCTAAATATCATATTTATATTTTTTCATAATCTTATTGCCGTTTTATAAAATTAAAGGAAAACGAAAACAACTTTCAATACGTTTATATACCCATTTATAAATAAATAAATTTATACATTTTTTTATTTATGGAGCGATTTTGACAATTTTTTTTTGAAAAATGAAGAGGGACAGGTATATTTTGTAATAATGCGATATCCAGTTTTTTTTAAAAGCCAAGGCCTACTATTTCACATTCAGAGTCTGAAAAAACCAGAATCCATATTAGCGATTTTTAGAAAAAAATCGCGTACATTACACTGGAATCGACATCCTCTGATATAGATCTGTACCTAGTTTAATAAAAAACTATTTAACATTAACGATTCTATGACTAAATTACTGACAAGTGGTTTATTATGCATTAAGAAGATTTTTTTCTAGTAACCCATGCGATAACAAAAACTTGTTGTTTAATCAAAATGTAAGCCGCTTAGCGTCAAAATACATTTTCCCCCTCTAAATTTAAAAAAAATCGTCAAAATTGCTCCATAAATAAAACAAATTATGGGGGTGGCCCACTTTCAAATGGTTCACTTTGTATCTATAACCTTGGAATTTTTTAGTTGTGAAACAAAAAAAATAGAAGAGACACTAAATTTTAACGTCATAAAAAGTAATTCGCAAGCCGCTCCACAAACCGAATTACACCCCTTAAATGTTATCAAAAATTAACAAAATAGTTCTAAAATAAAAAATTTGGCCTACCTGGTCGGCTATAATGAACAGCCTCCCCGTAGCTGGGACTGCCGGGCTCACCTTTGGGCCCTGTTATAGACAATCCTGGCACTCCTGGTGGACCAGGTGGGCCCGGAGGACCGGGAGGTCCTGGGACTGGAATGTATCTCGTCGATTCGTCGGATGATCGTGGCCCTGGGGGACCGGGAGGTCCTAGAGTGCCGTCTTTGCCGGGTGTTCCCATGTCGCCCTTGTAGCCCTTCTCTCCACGCTGTAAGTAATTGACAACATGAATTTTAATAGTAAAATAATGATGTGGTTATAAAGAAAAGTAGATAATTATTATTATAGTCGAACGGAGATCCTTAATGAAAATACAAAGTAATTTGTTTAAGCAGAGTTTACTTTTTTATATGGGATGCTAAGGATGAATAAATTAACTTAAACTATAATTTCGTTGTTGCTTTTTAAATAATATTTAATAAAAAATGTCAATTTAACCAAAGTAATAAAAATCATGACATAGTATGATGATTTGAGAAATGAGCATACATTAACCGTGGATAAATCCCATCGAGGTCATTTTAAGTAATCCCTGTTTAATTTAATAAGTCTTCAGCCGGTTATAACCGAGGTACAGGGTGTTTTTTTTTTTATAAATGTTTATTTCTTTCCTTATTTAAAACTCAACAACCTCGAATCTTGTTTTGACGTTTGATACACTTATCATTCATATCTTGTAGAATATAGAGACTCATTGATCCATTCTGGGACCCCTGTTGGTTGCATTATTAATATATAATCTTGTTTAAAGTCTTGAGTTCTCCAATTTACATCTGTATACCGATGATACCCATAAAATACTATAACTTCTTTTCCCATATGGAAGTTAAAGGTAGCAATAAAGTAATTAGAGGACTTAATAATTTCGTTATTATTGCTGAGGATGACTGTTTAAACATCACTTATGTAAAGTCTAATGTTTTATTTTTCAGTACCTATAATTAAACAAATTGGATGCAGTTTGAATATTGTTGTAAGAAACGAGAATCTGCAAAATGTATGTGGTGCTATGAGTTTAGATCTTATACCTTTTATTATACTCTAATTATTTATTAAATTTTTAAAGAGAGCATATACAGGGTGTAATAAAACGGTAGGTTACAAATGGGACCACATATTCTGGGGTCAAAAATAACTTGATTGAACATAACTTATCCTAATACAAATGTGCGCGCAAAAAAGTTACAGCTCTTAAAGTACAAACTGAAAATCGATTTTTTTTTTGTAATATAGCCCATAAAAATTTTAGGAGGTTTTAACCCTTAAAACCGTCCATACTTTTTTACGCGTTATAATTAAATTAGTATTGTAACTCCATTGGTTTAACACACCATTTTTCATATTTTTTTGCCTCCTCGCACTTTTTTGAGAAGCCAGTTTTTATCGAGATGTGGCCTCTTTTTAATTATTATTTAAAACATTTAAGATTGGCTGTTTAACACTTGCAGTTTCTACGCATAAATAATTGTCCTTTAACATACCTTAACATACTGTTAATTGAAGCTTTCGATTATTGTTCATTTTAAGAGTGTTAGGAAAAATTTTACTTTCTGTTACAATTGTTTACACTTTTACAGAAATGGTAAATATGCATTTAATTCCGGATAAGTTTGATCAGGCTAAAACAAGGTCTCAGATAATTATCTGTAACTCTGCTAATCACGGGTGAATGCCAAGGGAATAATGTAGCAGCTGCAAGGTATTATGCGCCAAAATATCCCAATCGGAATACACCAGACATAGGTACTATTATTTCTTTCCATTGATCGTCCAATAATGGATAAAAACGATGAGGAGATTTTAGAATTAGGCCGAGCGCAAGTTGAGGCGCAGTTTGGTGAGAAGACTCATCGTGCGTTTCTGTAAAACACAGAAATTATTACAAACTGAGTCACTTCACCCTGCGTACGAACATTCTTTGTTGCATTCCTTTTTGTGTTTCGCAAAAACTCACGGTGAGTCACCTCACCTCACCAAAATGCGTCTCAGCTTGCGTTTGGGCTTAATCGCAGAAATCCTGGAAACAGTAAGGGTAACAGCTGCTCAATTAAATGATGCTCACTTGATGGTTTGAAGAAGATTGAGGAAACAGCAGCTTTATCCCTATCACTTAACAACCGTTCAAGAATTACTAGATGAAGATTTTCCTAAAGTAATGAGATTTTGCTAATGGTTCTTATAACTGAAAACAATCGAAATATCACTTTTATTATCCAACATTTTGTTTACCGATGAAGCTACCTTCAATAAAAATGGCATTACGAATTACCATGGGCGAAGAAAATCCTTACGCAAAAAAGTGACTCATCACCAAAGGAATTTTAAAGTCAACGTTTAACAGGCATTGTGAATAATATTTTAATAGGACTAGTATTTCTTTAAAATAATTTAAATGGTAAAAATTACATGCTGTTTTTACAAAATGATTTCCCAGAGTACTTGGAAGAGGTAAATTTATGAATGAGGCAAAATATGTGGCATTTACAAGATGGAGCTCCAGCGCATTTCGATAACGAAGTTAGGGAATATCTTTTTGATTTGTATTCTGGGCATTGGATTGGAAGGGAACCAGAAGTTCCGATCTTAACACTATTGACTTTCGCTTCTAGTGTTTTATGAAAAAGGACGTGTATTCTGATAAATTAATCGACTAACAACTGAGGCATTAAATCATTGAAACTGCAAATAGATTTTGTCAGAAGCCAATGATCTTCCAAAATATTCGATTTTTCTTTTTAAAATGGTGCAGAATGTGTATTCAGGAAGAAGGAGGCCATTTTGTACATTTATTATATGAAGTAAATGCTATACATTTTTCATTACTTTTTATACCTGCGAATAACATGAATACTCGATTATAACTTACTTTTTGTTACTAAACATTTTTGAAAAATAATGAAAAAGAGGCCACATCACCATAAAAACTAGCTTTTAGAAAAAGTGCTAGAGGGCAAAAAATTTAAAAAATAATATATTAAACCAATAGCGTCACAATACTAATTTAATTGTAACGTATAGAAAAGTTTTGGTGGTATTTTTGAGCATCATTTCGAGAAGGATTTCGTATTTCTAACCCCCTTATAAACGAGAGTCGATTACTTCTAGAAGAACACAATAATTCATATAAAAACACTGGCGTTTTTTTTGCATTGTGGTTATGCCAGAAATTATTGTCTCGTTCAATTTTTTCTGCTAAAACACCGAGAGGGGTCCACATCACGAAAAAACAACATTGCCTTTTTGTTATGTGGAGCTGACCCTGGACCTGGTAGAAATACTTGTGGTTTTATTTTAAATGTATATTATTATGAAGCAGAAGCAGGGCATTAAATTTTAATTATACAATCAGTTCCTACCAGACCATTAGGACTAACCCCCAAAATAACATAAATCCAAATCGACAAACAAAACCTCAATTTTCGACATGCATAATAAATTTTTCTGAAAATTGACTTAGTGCTATTTGTTCTTTTTCTAGACCATATCGTGGGCTTACAAGCAAAAGGCACTAAGTCAAAAATTTGTCAAAATGGGTTTATATTTTTGTATATTATGTAAAAACAGTACATTGTATTCCGAAAGCATGTTCATTTTGTTTGAAGCAGTTGATAATCAATTAATAATTTGTAAAAAAAACTATAACTTCATTAAAACTTTAAATTGCTTATAACCCATAAATCTATTTTTCAATTTAATGCCTTTTGCTTGTAAACCCACAATATCTTGTATGTTCATTTCCCATGTGCGTGGAATAAACAAAATGTTTTATAAAATTTGTTTTTTAGTCGCATTTTACAATTAGTACCACAAGTATTAGAAATTAAAAATTTAAAAAAACCGACTTTAAAAACGTGCAGATGCCGTCACCACATCATAACCAAATTTATATGGAACCGCCCTTAAGGTACCCCCTTACTAACAAAAAAAGAATCATATGAATCGGACAAGGTGGTAAAGCATTATCGTTAAACATACATAAAAAATGAAGAGTTTGAGGATTTTGTCATAATCCCAATTATTAGATTTTGACCAAATTTATATGAGACTACCCCTGAACAAAAAAAAAGGATCATTGAATTGGGACAACGTGTTAAAGAATTATCGCTGAACATACATAACAAAAAAAAAATATCGCGACGAATTGAGAACCTCCTCCTTTTTTGAAGTTGGTTTAAAATTAAAAACAGTTATGTGTACACAACTAGCTTGTTTCCATGTATGATTTTCTCTTTGCCCTCTAGTCTCTTTTTCAAACAATTCTATTTCAAGAGAGTTTTTTGTAACTGTTCTAAAAATATTTCTTTTTTATTTTAATACTCCTTATCATTTAAATCGGGTATTATAAGACCGTAATCTTTATCTGGTAGGAATTTTCTTTTACCTTTAGTCAGTTATACGAGTTATGTCGTGATAAATCCAAGCCTCTAAATAAAATCAAAACTATCATTTAACAATAAAGAAAAAATTTATCAACCGACATGCGTGATTTTATTCCATAACATAATTTATATAAAAATTTGGACTCCGCAGCCCCATTATGCACGACTTCATAAATATGCATGCCAAAGTTCATCAAAAAATAATAAAATTTTAAAAAATAGGCCTGGAATCTAGGAATTACTTTTAAGTCAATTTTAGCACATGGATAACGCTCTTAAGGTAAGTTATGTTCAATCAAGTTATTTTTGAGCCCAGAATATGTGGTTCCATTTATGACCTACCTTTTTGTTACAGCTTGTATAGTGTATTAGAGCTTTATGTGTTTATAAATACTTTAAACCTTCTTATCTACATCAACAATTACGTTTCATTTATTCAAAAATTGTGCTCAATTAAAAATTTTTATTATTTACACATTTGTAAAAACTAATTATCATACGATGTAAAAGGTTAAGTGGAATTTGGCCTAAACTTTGAACTTTGCCTTTTGGTCACAATTTGTTCTATCTTTAAACCAACACTTTATATTTGTTTCTAGATAAGACGGACTAATTACTGAGCATTTTCGGCTTTCAAAATAAAAAAGGATTGGTTTTATTTAATTGTATTACATTAAATTAACTCAATACATTTTTAAAAGCTACATATTATTAAGTTTGGTTCTTGTTTGCATATAAACCACCTTATAATGTAATGGCAGGTCCGTATTTGAGACCTAATATTACAATCTGAAAATCCTGCATCACGTTGAAATGTCCTGTAAAATAA